CCCCCCGCCCCCCCCCACCCCTGCTCCCCACACGCTGCCTGCCCCCCCAAGCCCCAACACCCACACGCCCCCTGCCCCTCCCAAGTCTCAACACCCACATTCCACCTGGCCCCCACAAGTCCCAATGCTGCCTGGCTGCCAAACACCCAACGCTGCCTGGCAAATACCAGCCATGGGCAGCCAGAGAGAATCTACTGTGACCCAGGAGCGTTTTGTAGGTCTTTCAATTATATCGATTGAAAACGACCTGTGTTAAGAAATGGACTTTACTGACATAATTGAAGAATGCGCTACCAAAAGAGCTAGACAGCTATAATAGACTTAAATACAAATGAAAATTGTTAATTATTAATGCAGAATTTTGTTTAAGAATGAATTACAATATAATTAAAATAAAAATTAGCCAGCTAAATCAAGTTTCTATCAAATTTACCCAATTCACATTTAATATGAAAAATAGCCTTCAATTTGCGCATTTGATGCCTTTTTTCTATTTTGTCTCCAACGGGGGGGGGGGCGGGAAATTGTGCTGCTCTGGGCCTCACAAAACTCTCATCTGCCCCTGCCAGACAGTCTGGGCCAACAAGCAAGACCCCTGTCAGCCCCCCTCCAAACAGCTCCGCTGCTCACTTCAGGAGCTACTTCAGCTTTGGGGTTTGGCGCTTTCGACCCTCTGTGGATGTGCCCCGCAGCTGAGCTCACAAACCTTTTCTCTCCTTCCACCCCCACCACTGCTGCTTCTTTCCTTTCCCACAACCTTGGTCCCCCAAGCCTTCCCTGCAGCAGCCTTTTCCTTCTGCAAACCACCTCTCCATGGGACCTGGTTGCCTAACCAGGTTTCAAATACTCTCTTGTTTGACACTGGATTGACAACAGAGGCTTGGAGTGGTGCAGCTACATCTATTGCCCCCTCCTTGCCCCCCTCACTGCTGACAACACCTCTGAAACCCCTCCCCATCTCATCTCACAATTTCATCTTGAACCAGATCTTCATTTCAGCACCCCTCTGGGATGGGCCTATCCATGATTAATTTAGCCACTCGATCTCTTTATACTGTTCTCCTCCGTAATCCAGTATAAGCCAGAGCCTGCCTGGTTGTGCTTACACACTGTAAAGCTCTTTTGGGAGTTGGGGAGGTGCTGCATATGGCAGGAGACCTGCTCTATACAGCAGCCAGCTTGGGTTTAAATGAGTAAGATCCAAGCTCTGGCTTCCAAAGGACTCTAAGGCAGCTAAAGCCCCGTTCCCCTTGAATCTCTGTGAGAGCTGGACACGTGACTCCCTTGGGGTTCTTTAAAAAGCCCAGCTTTAATTCATACTCCCCCGATTGTTCAGTTACACCATGAACACGCTGGGTGTTGCGGTCACAGCCTGGGCAGGAAACTGGGCCAGTTCTCTGTCCCCCACATACATGCGGAGCATTCAACATGACTTAGGGGAAAACGCATTTATTACCATCAGGAGAAGCCCCAGACCATAACGCTTCTGCTTACTGTGACTTAGGGGAAACCGCATTTATTGCCATCAGGGGAAGCCCCAGACCATAACGCTTCTGCTTACTTTGCAAGGAGGGTGCTAGGGAGTGGGGAACAATGGGAGGGGAGCCTGTGCACAGAGTTTTGCCCCCTCCTGGCTGCAAGGCTGGTAGACAGCTCCCTGTGGCACTCCCGGAGCATATGCACGGTGAACTTCTGATGGGGAAGTGGAGCCCTCGGGTCTCAGCTCAGGCAGAACTGCTGCTCTGGCATCTGGGGAAATGGGGAGCTACTGCCTGGATGTTTAAATGTAGAAGGTGAAGAAGAAAAAAGCAACAGTCCCTAGGGAACCTCTTCCCCCTAGCTTCAGACAGCTCACGGTCATATCTGGGTTGACCAAGTGGCCAACGGCAGCTGGAAGAAGGCGGGGGAAGAGGTTGTGTTGGGGGTGACTGAGGACTGGGATCCTTTGGTTCATTTGGAAAGGCCAGGTACTAACTGCCACACGGACCTGACTCCATGAGTTCCATGGTTCTTCATTGAGATTTCTCAGTCCAGTATGCTGGGAGCTGGAAACGCTGTAGGAACATCAGTCTCTTCGCACCCTCTCCATCTGAGCCGCCCCCACTCTTCCTCTTTGCGCCTTTCCCTTCCCTCTAAAGCAGGGCTGGGGAATCTAAAGCCTGGGGGCCAAATGCAGACCCCCAACATGCCTGAATCAGGCCCCCAAGGCTTAGGGTCCCCCCCAGCATTGGAGAGCATGCGGACCTGGAGCACCCAAAAACCCACTAGGGTCCCACTAGGTTCCGGTGAGTGAGTGGGATGTGAGGAGCATCTTTCTTCTTCTCCATCAGGGGCCACATCAGTGAGGGTTTGTTTTTGGTTTATTTCCCTTCTCACTTGTGGGCTGCCCCCGACTGATTTTTCTGCGGGTCAGTGGCCCCCGACCCAAAAAAGGTTCCCCACCCCTGCTCTCAAGGATCAGTTGGAGGCTTGTTTCTTGCTGGGTTCTAGCCCTTTGCAGATGCCTAGTGTGAGAAGCAGACTCCCCTACCAGATACAGGCAAAAGCACACATTCCTACACAGACTCAGGCCATCTTGCAGGCATGTTTAGGCCCATGCACCCTTGGATAGGGGGCAGAACATGCATTGACACATGCACCCATAGGCCACGTCCCTGACTTGAATGTGGATTTGCATGTACATGTGCACACACATGTACAGCTATGCACACTGCTCTTGCACACTGCTGCAGGGAGATGCCAGTGCCCTTCAGCACAATCTGTGCAGTGCCAAAATGCTGAATGAACCCCCTTCTCCCAGTCACCAACCCCCAAAGCCCTCCTCACCCTCGGTTCCTCTAACTCACCAGGCAGGGTCGGGAAGTTGGTGGGAGGGTCAGAAAATTAACAGGGCCAGGTCCGACCCCAGCATAGCCTCAACCATGCAAAAACCCTCTTTCTAAAGCCAGGGTAGTGTCTGAAACGTGCAGCAGTTAGTTAAAGGGAGGAAGCTGGGACAGCCGGGCGCAGTCCCCTACTGCCTCTCTAACCTCCCTTGCTTTCCTGGAGCGTGATGTGACATTCACTGTACACCAATAGCCTAAATCATTCAGCCAGGGACACCGGTTCCTGCCCGTTCCCCAGGGTGCCAGCCATGCAGCCGGCCACCCAAAACTCAGCCCGGGCAGCCCTGCAAGGAGCTGCCAGCCCAGCGCAGTCCAGCCATGGGCAGCTTTCTCCAGGCAGCACCCCAGCCAAGCCCACTGCAGCCAGCACGCCCATCCCCACTTGGCAGATGGGGGGCAGGGTAACGGGGTGTTTCTCTAGGCAGGCAAAAGGGGGGTTGGCTAAGGGTGAGTGCCCGCCCCCCCAGAGCGGTAGAAAGTTTTGGGGGCGCTGTGTCTCCCCCTGCTTGGACAGATCGCTGCTGCCCCAAGAGGCGGAGGGGAGGGAACCCCCAATCCCGCCGTTCTCGCTCTTCCCCGTCTCTCCCGCTCCTTACCTGGGATTTCTCCTGCTGCCCGTCCTCAAGTTGCGACGCGCCCCCCATGTTTTTCCACCGCTCATTGACCATCTTCTGGGCCAGGGAGCGAGAGCTGTGTCTCCCCCTGCTTGGACAGATCGCTGCTGCCCCAAGAGGCGGAGGGGAGGGAACCCCCAATCCCGCCGTTCTCGCTCTTCCCCGTCTCTCCCGCTCCTTACCTGGGATTTCTCCTGCTGCCCGTCCTCAAGTTGCGACGCGCCCCCCATGTTTTTCCACCGCTCATTGACCATCTTCTGGGCCAGGGAGCGAGACGGGAACGAGGCCGGCTCGCGGGGGAACCCACATCGGCGCCGGGCCGCCTGGCCCCGGAGCTCGCTCCGCGCAGCGTCGGGCAAACTTTGCGGCGCGCTCGGGGCTGGGTCCGCGCCCGTCCAGCACCCGCCTCCCTTCCCCCGCTGCTCCCCCCCGGCCCCCGCCGGGGGA